CTTCCATAATGGGGATTGTAGCCTTTACGCGGCAATCAAAAGCACACCTCATGTAGCTGGCTCACTCATTGTCCGAGGCCGATGAAGCGTCGTGCAAAGGTTCAGACGTGACTGAAACGGAAAACTCGGTATCATACACACTCACAGAGAAGCTTTCCACTTGCTTCCCGAGATTTTCCACACTCCAGCATAGACAAAGACGGGAAGCGGGGTGCTTGGTGTCGCGACTTCTGTCACCAAGCCTGTCACCCAGGTAGCTGACTCGAGCCGCAGACTCACGTGATTTTGTCACGACTCAGGTGCGGCTCGGCACGAACATGGGGATCACTGATCAGCGACGCCGGCAACCGCAACACACCCTCGGATCTGACCCCAGCTTTCGGTAAACTAACTACATAGACCTGCACAGACGACATCTTCTTTCTGCATTTCACTTCTCACACCTGTTGATCCTGATACTGATTTTCAGAAGCAAACTCGTCCTGCCTCGGTACGGCTTCGGGCAGCACCCGGCCAGCTCAGCTAGAAAAAGCGCACTGGTTGGTCTTCCAGTAGCGACGGGCTAGAGCCATACGATGACCGCCACACCTTGGATGGGAAACATTTGCATCGATAGCCTTTTCGCATGTCGACACGCTATGCAAGACGTAGTATCCAACAAAGAAGGATCCCATCACCGCACGACGCCCCACACCGGAGTAACAACAGTAGATGCTGTTTGCAAGACGTATGTCAACCACACGAAAATTCAAACAAAAACATGACTGCTGATACCCCTAGCGTTTGGAGAGCCTAAGAGGCCATGCAAGCGGGAAAACCCGTCAAAGATTGTGTTAGTAGAACAAACTTCGAAACAACATCCTACAATATCCGCCATTGAATGTCTCAAATCATGGAGACATTACAGCTAAGAACCGGAAGAAGGGCCGATGAGGCGCATGATCAGATCACGACCATGAGCAATTCCGCATCTTGTGCAAAACCCAGATGAGTTCAGACGATGATAACACAGTGGCAAAGCTGAAGGCCTACCGGTCTGGTTATACGAACAGTTGTATTAACATGCAGCAGCAGCGTATGTGTAGCTAGACGGAGTACAGTTTCACGCACTTACTTTCGCCGCTCGACCAGGAGGTATCGTCTTCACATGTATCTAGACATCGTGGAACGCTTCCGCTCGTAGTACATCAACACCTCGATAATCAATCGATGAGCCAGCGGAAGATGCCCTGCCAATGTTGGATGGCAATGGCTGTCGGCAAGTTGTCTAGCAAAAGACCTCGATTCGAGAGTCTGGGCCCACGCCACGTGCCCGTAGCGGACAGCGGACACCCCGCTAAGTGCTTGCCCAGGCTCCAAACCACCAAAAGCCCACCCCATTTGTCGCAGCCACCTCCGGATTTCCATCACCACAATGGCTGTTCACGCGGGGTATAGGCTGGGCGTGACTGTCGGAAACGCCTTGACATGCGCCTGCGCGCTGTACCGGAGTCAAGACCGCCAGAATGCCGGGTCCAGACAGCACTATCGCGGATGCTATGCTGCTTGGAGCTGCTTGGCATGAGTACTGCTAACCGCTGTGGTGAATCGTCTCCGGAGCTATGGGCTTGAGGCTCCGTACCAGTGTCAATTCGATAGGTCGTAGGCGAGATAGCTTCGAGAGCTTGTCAGTACTCAATGCAAATTGCTAAGTTTTGGAGAGTCTGGGGTACGGTGGAGCCGAGGCCGCAAAGAATCTGGGGAAGGCGAGATCAGTAGTCTGGGGAAGCCGGTGCGTATATGAGGTCGAGTATCCTACAGTTGTGGTTTTAGTTCTCCTTCATCCTCCTCCATCACAAGCCAGATTTCCTCTTCTATTCTCCCTTACTCCTTGTTGATCTTCTCGTCGTTCATCAAGGTTTACATCTTACCCCCTTGAAGGGCCTCAGAGGACTCCGAGAGTCTCCAACGACTATCATGGCCTCTTACGCTGAAGAGAAGGGCAACGTCGCCACCCTAGAACGCATCGAGTCCGACACAACCGCCAGCAATGCCGCCATCAGTCGTTTCACACCCGAGGAGCAGAAGAAGATTGTCCGCAAGGTCGATTTTCGTCTCATCCCCACACTCGGCTGCATGTACTGTGTCTCTCTCATGGACAGAACCAACCTAGGTGTCGCCATGGTCGCCGGCATGGGTGTCGATCTCAAGCTCACTGGCGAGAGATACAGCATCATCGTGCTACTCTTCTTCATCACATACGTCGCACTCCAGCCACCAGCTACCGTTGTGCTAAGGAAGCTTGGTCCAAGACTCTTCCTGCCATCTATCGTCATCATCTGGGGAGCAGTCATGATTGGCTTCGGTTTCGTCAAGGAATGGCACACACTCATCCCACTCCGTCTGCTCCTCGGTATCTTCGAGGCTGGTTTCTTCCCCGGCTCTGCATACCTCCTCTCATGCTGGTACAAGCGATTCGAACTCCAGAAGCGCAACACCGTCTTCTTCCTCATTGGTATGCTTTCGTCTGCCTTCTCAGGTATTCTAGGCTACCTCTTCTCTCTGCTCAACGGCAAGGGTGTACAAGCAGCATACTGGCTTGGTCCCCACTACGGACCCACAAAGAAGGCGCCCACCACACCCGTCAGCTTCGGACCCGGTCTCTCAGGATGGCGATGGATCTTCATCATGCAAGGTGTTATCACTGTCTTGATCGGCGTCGTAGGATGGTACTTCATCGTTGACTTCCCCGAGCTAGCAGCCAAGCCCAGCGCGACCCAAAAGAAGTTCCTCGAGCAAGACGAAGTGGACTTCATCGTCGCCCGCATCGAAGAAGACCGCCACGATGTCATCGCTGAGGAGTTTAACCTCAAGAGTTACCTCGCGGGCGCCATGGACCTCAAAGTTTGGGGCTTTGCTCTCATCTTCATGTTCACGACCACTATCACCTACGCCATCGCCTACTTCCTGCCCATCATCCTAAAGGACGGTATGGGCTTCAGCCCCGCCGCAGCAAACTGCCTCATCGCACCTCCTTACGTCTTCGCCGCCTTCGTCATGGTTGGCTTCGCCTGGGCAGGAGACAAGTACCACATCCGCAGCCCATGGGTCATCGCCAACGGTGTCCTCGCTCTCATCGGTCTCCCCATGATCGGCTTCAGCACCAACGTCGGTGTCAGATACTTTGGTAAGTCATTCATTCCCATTGCCCTCTCTGTACATGCACTAACAACCACTCTCAGGTGTCTTCCTCGCCACCGCCGCTGCAAACGCAAACGTCCCTTGCATCCTCACATGGCAAGCCAACAACATCCGCGGCCAGTGGAAGCGCGCTCTCTGCAGCGCTACACTCGTCGGCGCTGGCGGTATCGGTGGTATCATCGGTGGAACTGTCTTCCGTACCCAGGACGCACCTTCCTACGTCCCTGGTATCGTTGCTTGCATGATTGCGTCTGGCATGATCATCATCATCTCGCTGTTGCTCAACTTGAAGTTCTGGATGGCAAACAAGCGTGCGAACAACGGAGGCAAGATCATTGAGGGCCTTGAGGGCTTCAGGTACACTTTGTAGATACCCAGAGTGTGTATGTGCGAAGGGATGAGGATATGAGTAATGAATTGTTATGTGTTCAATCAAGGTTGACACTGCATCTACGTGGAAGTGACCTACCCTTTCAAACCATCGCACCACCACTCCAGTTTCCTTTTGCAAAACCCGAAAGCAATGTCACCTTCCAGTCTGAGAAACACGGCGAGATTTTCAGCCACCCCCAAGAACATGTTCTATGTCATTTCCAGCCACGGCGACGCCGAAGCGGGATCAACAGTATATTGCCGCTCGCCCGTCTTGGCCCTTCCTTCCTATCCGTCTTTGAGCAACGAGAAGGATCGCTTGGAAAGACGTCTAGATGTTCCTTCTCGGATCGCGGATTACGCCCTCTTGGTGGGATGCGTGTTTTGAACCGGGATAAGACAGGGGACATCTAAGCGAGAAGGTATCGCAATGGCGTAAGTACACAACGGGTGAGAAATGGAGGGGAAGCTGTTGAAAAACAGACGTGCTTTCTAATGCAGGCATGTACTAGGATTGTCTCAACATTTTCTCTCTTCGCGGGCCACTTCTCATGATCTGTAAAAAAACCGATTCGTCGTCCGGAAGATCAGTTACTTATGCAGGTGACCGATTCGCTGTTAAAATGGACCAATTAGTATACTTCTACGGAGAAAAATGCACAAGCCGAAGGTATGGCTGTCTAGGTGGTGTCAAACGAGATAGCATGAAGTATAGTTGCATCGATATACCAAGACCCGTCGTCTGCTGAGCCGAAGTGCTTGCAGATCTGCCGGGTGGTATTGATGCAGCATCTAGTGCGGCTCATTAAAAGGGAGCTTGCGGCTCATGTTCACCTATCATGGTGGCATGGGGTGCAAGATGTGTTATCTCTAAACAAAGCAGCCTCCTTGCACTTCGTGTGGAGTACAGCCCAGTTGTAACTTTCGCCGCACCACCTAATCTGAAGTGACTTTTGCTGCAGCACAGAATTCCTTTAACTTCCATATATAACACGCGGGTTCTTGGGTTTTATCCGGTCTTGATAGTACATCATCGTGCGTTAGTACATACCTAGGTAATCTCGAGTTCTCTTAGAGCATCCTCCTATGCTCTACTATCTTGGCCACGTGAAGGTGCCATCTCTCGGGAGTCTTTCATCGAGAATCTACTGCGAGCCTAATGTCTTGGGTTGCAATTGATCTTCCATGGCATTCCTTAAGTAGCATATGGTATCATCGTTGGGTCCTAAAGGCCTGTCGCGTGAATGTCGTACGTTTCTTGGGTATGCGGCAACGTGTCGTATCCCCTCCTCGGTATCGAGGTGAGTCTGGAAAGAGTAAACCTCATGGTTTCATATTCGGCTCAATTCAGCAGTGGTGGAGACATAAAAGACCAACCCCCCTCCGGTATTGACACGACAGCAACCCGCTTTGACACTGCTATCTCTTCACCAAAAACTTCAGTCACAATGCGCATCACCATCGCAGCTGGCTTCTTTACCCTCATTGTGCCTTCTCTTGGCTACGATGTTCAGTTCTATACCGGAATACAGTGCCGAGGCGAACGTCTTGGTGGAGCAGTTGGCTTGACGCCTGATGATGGGTGCCAGGACGGCAGCTTGTACAGCATCAACGCCAATTCCGTCTACATTGCTCAAGGAGACACCGAGGAAGACCTTCAAATCGCTTTTTATGGGGGTGACAACTGTCCTCTCGAGAACGCAGTCGCAACAGGGAATGTTGGTGCATGCCTTAGCGTCGGCGGTGCCTACCAGCAGTTCGATTCCTACAACGCTTTTCCCATCATCCCGCGCAGCAAGCGTGAAGATTCTGTCCAGTCCCAGGTCAATGACGACCCTTCGAACTTCCAGCATGGGGCTTTGTTCGAGGATGATGACGGTGTAAGTTGCAAGACGAAAGCGATGGCGCTATCTCCTATTCCGGTGTGCGATCGCTAACTATGCATGTGTAAAGGTCCAATGGCGCCTCCAACAGATAGCAGAGAACGCTTTCAGAGGCATACGTGCTGAGGAGTGGTCTTCCACCATGCGCATTGCCAACACACAGCCTCTGCCCGATTTCGACGACATACACATTGTCAAACTTGCAGAAGATCCAAACGAGAACCCTGCTGAGAACGCCAAAGTGAGCGCTGTCCCATCAGAGCGAAGCCCAAACCCAGCGTACGAGGTCGAACTTGCGCTTATGCCGCTCGACAACCTTCAACCCTACTGCACCGCCATCGCTTCATGCTTCATTGCTATCGGCGGCCTTCCTGAGCAGTACTTTCCCCGATCAACCCAATATGTGATCGCCCAGATCGAGCGTGCATGGAGAGCATCGACCTTGGAAAACCTCTGGACCTTCCTGAATTCACCCTTCTTTCTTGCCACAGGAGGAGCATACATCGCTACGCGCTACATACCAGCATCCCCGGACACGCCCGACGCACCGGCGGCTCAATGTACACAGGGTCAGAATCTGGCCCTCGACACAGCAGAGCAATGCATCAACTGGGTGGCAGCGAGCAGTGGTCGAGGTGAGACCAACAATGTCCAGTGCACTTTTGTTGATGAGAGTACGGGCGAGCGGGGAGCGTTGAGCCTGTCATACCTCCCCAATAACATCGATCCCCAGTGTGGAGCCCCACGCCCGCCTCGTCGCTTGTCAGCGGGAGTTATCAGCCGTGCCGAGCGGGCTTTGCTGGGCGACGTGCCGGCTCCGCTCGCTTATTGAGATGCACGTGACTGTGCTGAGAGTAACCACCTGGGCATGTACGTACCTTGGTAGCCTCCGGTGTAAGCCTGTAGTGTAACGCAGACCATTCAACATGGTTTCGTTAGTGGAATGTAGTAAAGGGATTAGGGATAGGATGAATTGATACATGTCTCTGGTTGGCAGGTTTATCTGCTATACTGCGCGCGTGTTTCAGGTTGCCAAGAATTCAGCCTTGTCCAGGGCTGTGTTGTTGCCTTGACGTAAGAACCAACGCCGATCATCCGGCTTTGCTCAGGTGGTTAATTAGAGTCACCGTCCCTATACTTTCTTTCTTTGAAGTGAGTGAGTACATGTATCCTCCTCTTACGAAGACATGTCGAGGAATTCGTTTGAAAACCACGGTGGACGCGAGGAGAAGGCGCCGCTGTACGCACTTTCACAGCTCATCATTCCAGAACCCGACGCTCCTCCGGCCGGTATTCGCGAGTTCCTGACTGAAGTTCTTTCAGTCTCGCGTGGACTCTCGCGCGAACATGCAAGCGCCATAGCAGACAAGTGGAAGCTTGGCACTGGACGCGAAATGCGCGACTACCCTCCAAAGATGTATCTCGAGATATTCGGTCCGGAAGAAGGATGGTGTGTGTATAGAGAAGTCAAAACCAGACTCCTCAACCAGAAAGACCAACGTGCATTACCTCGTGAAAGTCGCACTTTCCTAAGTATGCTCCACACCTGTCGGCATAGTTACGACCATGCGCTGACCAATGCTTTAGTTGGCATAAGTATCTTCTTCATGGTTACAGCCTACTATCTGATTCCCACGTTCTGGTCGTCGCCACGTGCGCTACCTCTGCGGGCGATGGGTTTTGTAGCATTCTCTTTGTTTGGTGGTGGCGGCTTGATCTGTTGGACAGCGGCCGTTTCATCACCACCCACTGTTGATGAGCAGGTCGAGCAGGAACTTATGAAGGCGTTCGTGGGAGAAAATCCAACTTCCAAGAAACAGCAGAGCTTGAAGTAGTGAATGGGTTGATAAAGAGAGCAGCTCCGGGAAGGACGAGCTTTGCATGGATGCGATCTCGGGGAACGACCGGGCTATCTCGGTTAATACGCGTCTTCCATTCAAACCTTCAACTTTCTTTTCCTCCGTGTGAGACAACACCATGTCTGGCCCCGCGGAGCAATTTGAATCGCATGATGCCCCTGGACTAACAGACCCTTGGGAATTTGCGTCGCAGCCCGAAGTTCTGGACAACGGACGGGTGAGCGGCGTCTTGCGTCGCACGGAACCGCGCCTGCCGGCACTCGCAACGTCATGCTTACCAGCCCTATGAACGGTCCACCAACAGATGCCATCAGGACTCGAGCTCGAACACCAGAAGGCCCCTGCACTTGTTCATCCGTAAAGCGTACCCGAAGTCATTCGGGCCTTTGTCATCCATGTCAGCCGCAGCCTAGCAGATGAGCGTTTGTGGATATTATCGCGACAACAATCTGTCCGTCGCAGCTTCCCGACAGTCCTCGCGCCGCGGAAACGACCAGAGTCATTGGAGGAACAACTCTTTTCTCTCGCCCGATGGACTGCGAATAGCGAGCTGAATCACAACGCCTCCTAAACGCGTTATCGCAGCTACCGAACGCCAGGAACTGAGTTACCAAGCTTTCCGACGCGCCACTTTTTGCCGCTAGACGTAGGCTTGTCCTACCTGGTACGAGATCCGATGCCCAGAACACTGGATAGACCTTCCAACCCCAAAATGTCGACTCTGAACGCTTATCTGGGAAACGCTGGGTTTTCGCAATGCCCTCGTGGTCTAACACAAGTGCAAGGGTCCTTCTCCAGAAAGATTTTCATATCCACATCACCCTGGCCCTTAGAGCTCCAGACTGCCGATGCATGGGTGGATCGTATGTACAACACACCACTTAGTCGATCAACGCCGGGATGAGACCTGCCCTCTCGGTACCAACTCTGTTTACTCGTGAGTACCGCCGCGGCTCGATGTTGGAGTCTCGCCTTCAAAGCGTTCAGGTTAGTGGCTCTTTCGCGCGGTGAAATTGGCCGGACCGACACTGAGCGTAAGCCACGTCGCGCTAACACGCGTGGAAATTCGTCAAGCAACGGGCGACACTTCTAAGATTATTCCTACCCAGGTGTACGCCATGCAGGAACGCTCTTAGCCTGCCATAGTTCTTTGGGATCTTACTTTCGTTCCTGCATCCTATGCCCGTTAGTAGGTACCGCTTGGCTCTAAAGCCGGCACCATCAATATTGATGAACAAGACTATCTTCCCAACAGCGGCATCTCATCAGCGATGGGTTTTTGATCAAAACGGATTGCCACGGTGAGTATCTCACACGGCAGCAGCTATCGATTGTGGCTTTTGTCCCCTGGCATCTCTGAAGAGACCCACCGGCTATCTACCCTGTCAGATGTACCTACGAGTCGAGCGACAAGCGTGAAAGCGGGTTTAACGGGATGTCATATTGTAATCGGGATCCAGACCACGTTGTCGTAGTATACCCAATTCGGTGTGAGCCCCGTAAACCCTTGATGGGGGTCTTCGAGCTTAAGTATCATCTAACATCATGTACTCCTGATTTCCATCGCTCGCTTCTCACCCTCGTCGATTGATCGTCATTCGCTATGCGCTCGTTCGCTGTTGCCGCCCTGCTCGGGCTTGCGGCTGCTCAGAGTAGTGCCTCTAATGCCACTCTGAGTATTGCGAGTCGCTCTTCGACATCGCCAACGCCTCTTACAACCACTTCGGCCACCTTGACAGGCCCCAAGTCGGTTATCACCGTCGCCACCGATGGATCTGGAGATTATACCGCCATCAATGTAGCCGTAAAGGCTGCACAAGATAGCGGCATCGCCACTGTCTCCGTTCTCCCTGGAACCTACTCCGAGGCCGTCACTGTCATCGGACAGGCTACTGTTACGATCGCCGGTCCCTCTCCAACGGCTGCGGATGACTTCTCCGAGAACAAAGTCACAATCGCTGCCACTACCGTTCCATTCAGCATTGGTACGGATAAGATCAAAGGTGTAACCGTCCGAAACATCAACATCATCAATTCAGCTGCTGTTGGTCCAGGAGCCAATGCGGCGACAGTTTCGCTTAGAGGAAGCAATGTTGCTTTCTATGGGTGCTCCATCATCTCGCCTGGTGGCACTGTAGTCTCAGCTACCTACGGAACGGCCTTCTTCGCCAATTCGTACATCGAGGGCTCGAATTATCTCTTCTACAACTACCCGACTATCTATCTGTACAAGTCCACCATCGTTCCTCTCAGCTCGAGTGCTCTTATTGTGTACAGCAAGGGTGGAACCCCTAACGGAGGTACCTTCACGAACTCCACGGTCGTATTCGATTCGAGCTCGATACAGCAGAAGACAGGATATACCAACAACAACGTATTTTTGGCGGCCCCAGCCGCCGACGGTGCAGTGGCAATCTATCGGAACACAGCAATGGGAAATTTGATTGCCCCTGCTGGATTTCACCCTTCAGCGGCTACCACTCCGTCTTTCTACGGCGAGTTCGCCACCACCGGTGCCGGTTCTTATAGCAAGAACGCCGCAGCTCGCCCTGGCTACGATGTCCTCCTCTCGGCCGATCAGGTGTCTCAATTTACCATCGACAAGGTCTTCGGAAGTGCGTTCTACCCTTACGCTAGCTCTTCGCTTGCATGGGTTGATCAGAACATTGTTGCGTCATTGAAAGCATCGTATGATGCTCAGATTGCTTCCGCTTCATCTGCTGCGTCGACTGTTTCTTCTACGGTGTCTTCATCAGCTTCATCGATGGCTTCGCTGGCCAGTACCGCCAGCCCCATCTCGAACGCTACTATCACTGCTTCCACAGTGACCAGTGCTACCCCAGTAGCCTCTTGCACAATCGCAGCCGCGTCTCCGACTCTGATAGTCTCCAAGACACCCGGACCATGCGAGTTCTCGAACGTCACGTCAGCTATCAGCGCCCTCCCCAACGACGGCAACCCATATACGATCAAGATTGGCGCGGGTACATACGTTGAGCAGCTTTCCATCACTCGCAAGGGGAAGGTCACCTTGAGGGGCTTCACCGACTTCACCAATGACTACACTATGAACAAGGTCCGCATTGAGTTCTCCAGGGGCGAGCTTACCAGTGCTGGCAAGAACGAGCAAACACCCGTAGTATACTCCAAGCCTAGCGGCGATTCAGGAATGGCTTTATACAACATCGATTTTGTCAACACCTACCCTCAGACTTCCAACACCGCAGCACTGGCTGCCGACTTCTATGGAGCGAACATTGCTGCCTATGGTTGCTCCTTTATTGGTTTCCAGGATACCCTACTTGCTAATAAGGGTACGCAAGTATTCAGCAACTGCTATGTTGAGGGTAGTATTGACTTCATTTGGGGTTTCTCCACCGCATACTTCCATCAGTGCATGATCGTTAGCAACACGCCTGGGGCTTTCATCTCAGCACAATACAGGGCCACCGCAGACGCCCCCGGTGGATATGTGTTCGATTCTTCAGTCATCACATACAGTGCTACCTACGGCAACACCTTCGGCACAACCTACCTCGGTAGACCTTACAGCCAGTTCTCCATCGCTATCTACATGAACTCGTATATCGACAAGCATATCTCTAGCGCTGGCTGGACCGTATGGCAGACAAACAACCCTCAGACATCAGGAGTCACATTCGGCGAATACAACAACACGGGCCCTGGCAGCTGGACGGACACAGCCAAGCGGGCCGACTTTGCCACAAAGTTGACAGCGTCCCAGGCTGAGAAGTACACGCTTGCTGCATGGATCGGCAGCACGGCATGGTTGGACATGGATGCGTATAATGCGATTCCTTCGTACACCCTTACAGGCCCCACGACCACCTCGCCATCACCATCTCCGTCCCCTTCTACCAACGGTACCGTGACTGGACCGACTACCACTGCAACTGTCAATGCTCATCCTGACAGCGGTACTGTGCCGCCCCTAGGCGCTGTAATCGTTTCCAAGGATGGCAGCAACGGTGCTGCGTACACCAACATCACTGCCGCACTCGCTTCGCTTCCGCAAGACAAGACCAACCAAACCATCTTCATCTACCCGGGTACCTACAATGAGCAAATCCCGTCAGTCAACCGTCCTGGTGCCGTAAGGATCATCGGGTACACCACGGGCAATCCAGGTCAAGCCTACAAGGACAATCAAGTCACTGTCTCCTTCGCTCGTGGTCTATCCGTCTCCCCATTACCCGTCGGACACTCGAACGCGGAAACATCCGTATTTTCTACCGCATCAAGCAGGATTAGCATGTACAACGTCAACATGATCAACACCGATAACCTCGATGGTGCCGAACCTAACTACGTGACTCTCGCGGGCTCAATATACGGCAATGACATCGCCTTCTACGCTTGTTCGTTTGATGGCTGGCAAGATACCCTTCTGAACGGAGCTACCGCCGGTTACCAATACTATGAGTCGTGCTACATTGGAGGTGCCATCGACTTCATTTGGGGCTACTCCAAAGCATACTTCAAGGGATGTACGATCGGTGCCAAGCGCAAGTCATCGGCTATCACGGCGCATAGCAGGAAGTCGAGCACCGATATTGGCGGCTACATCTTCGATCAGTGCTTGTTCACTGCGGCTCCCAATGCAGTCGACGACCTAACCCAGAAGGTTTACCTCGGCCGTCCATACTCCCAGTACGCGCTTGTTGTCGTGAAAAACTCGTATCTCGACGCTACCATTATTCCTGCCGCTTGGAAAATCTGGTCCGCAACTGATCCACGTACCGATCACATCACCTTTGCCGAGTTCAACAACTCTGGTCCTTCGAACTGGGAGCAGAACGTTGCTGCCCGTCAGTCATTCGGATATGCCACGCTACTCACTTCTGATACCTACTCTTTGGCTTCTGTTATGGACTCAACAGAGTGGATTGACATGACCTACTTCAACTCCATCGTCACTCCACAACCCTCCGCGCCCATTGTCATACCACCTGGACCTATCGTCGTCGGCGGCAATTCTACTTTCAATGGCACGACCCCACCGGCCGATGCTCTCATTGTCTCCAAGACACCGATCGTTGGTGTCGTGACATACGATACTATTCAAGCGGCTCTCAACGCTGCGCCAACTACGAGCAAGACGAATGCCACAATCTTTATCTACCCTGGTATCTACGAGGAGCAGCTCATCATCGCCAAGTCCGGACACACCATCTTCCGTGGATACTCCGATTCAACCGATGATTACTCCAAGAACCAAGTTACCATTCAATTTAGCCGTGGTGTGGATACTCAAGGTACCTCTGGTAGCAACACCGACGGAGCGACTGTCTACGCAAAGGGCAACTACTTCCATGGTTTCAACATCAACTTCCGAAACAACAACGGCACGCAGCAGAACATAGCTTCGCTCGGCTTCGCTGTTCAAAGCAGCAAGTTCGCCGCGTTGTACGGATGCCAGATCTATGGTAATCAGGACACTCTCAGCATCTCTGGTAGCCTGTTCACCTTCAAGACCTACATTGAGGGTAACGTGGACTTTATCTATGGCTCCGGGTCTGCGTATTTCCTTGATTCGACGATCGCCTCCAACGAAGACGGTATCAGCATCACAGCTCACAAGCGTACGGCTAACACAACTGCTGCGGGCTTCGTGTTCGATCAGTCAAGAATCGTGCCTGCACCTGGATCTGGGAAGTTTAGCAGCGTCAGTCTTGGTCGTCCATGGAATAGCTTCTCTCGTGTTGCGTATGTTGGCTGCTACCTCGACTCTATGATCAGCCCGGCTGGATGGTCGCAGTGGTCAAAGACCAACCCGCAAACTGATGGTGTCACATACGGAGAGTACCATAACACTGGCCCAGGTTCTGATATCTGCAAGCGCGCTGCGTTTTCCCAGCAGCTTTCGGACAACGATGTTGCTCAGTTTCAGCTTGCTTCTTTCTTCGCCACGACTGCGTTCATTGATTTCCGATTCGTCGATACTCAGCCGTTTGCGATTGGTATGGGCTCGCCCCAGGTTTGCAGCACTGCATCCTCGTCCCTCATATCATCATCAACAATGTCTGCCAGTGTTTCGATGTCTACTATGAGTCTCACCTCTTCGAGTAGTCTACCGTTGGTCATAGCGTACACCACGACTACCGTGATCGCCCCACTTACTGCGAGCACCTTTGTCACCGCCCCTGAAGTCACTTCGACTACTGTGGTGAAAAGCACAGAGACGTTCTCGATCAGTGCCATCGACATCATCAAGACCAGCACATTAAAGGTCACTGCCACCACCTCGATCGTTTCTCCTGACGTAACCTCCACTGCCACTTCGGTAGTAACTGAGGATGTTGGCCTTACTGTTACCCCGGAACCTGTTACCAAGACCAGCGTCGTCAAGGGTACCGTGACCGAAGCTGGAGTGACAACCAAGGGCGCTACGACTTCGACGGTCAAGGGCACCACGACTGTTACCGTTCTGTCCACCTCTTCGCCCAAGCCAACATCAATCACCGTCAGCGAGGGATCCACAGTCTTCATCACGAGCTCGAAGACTCAAAAGGCAGCTTCCACAATAGTCAAGACTACCATCTCGATCGAGCCGACCACCACCAAGACGACTACGGTGCAACCCAAAGACTCAGTCACGATCAGTAGCACGTCCATCAAGACAACTACCAAGAAGTCCACTACCACGCTCTCTTGCATTCCCACTCGCAGCGCGGAGAAGCTGGTCCGCCGAGGTGCCGTCCTTCCTCGCGCTGTGGCTAGCACTACCACGGTCACCGTCAGCACTACCGTGAGCAGCTACGTAGCCACAGCTACCGCAACTCAAGCTGGCTCGACCGCCTTTGTCACAGAGTTGTCCATCGCTACCAAGACTACTTCCCTGAAGGCCAGCACCAGCACAGTCACAGTCACATCCGTGGTGAAGACATCGACGATCGCTCAGGCAGGCTCTACTTACTACACGACAATTGTTTCAACAGAGAAGATCGGCAAAACCACGACTCTGAAGGCCTCCACCAGCACGGTCTACTCCACCGACCTTGTCACCAAGACTGTCCTATCAACAGTCACTGAGCCAGCAGTCACGGTCAGCTCCCTCATGACCGCTTCAAAGACTTCGACTATCCTCGCAGCGCAGGAAACCATCGTCGTAACCCAGTCGAGCGACGTGACTTCCAAGACAACGATTACGCTGCCTGTCTCTACGAGCACCAAGTTTGAGACGGTGACTCTAGGTGGCGGAGTAAAGACGGAAACCGTTACTGGGGCCCCCAAAACCAAAACGGTAGTTGCGAAGAGTACCGCGACGGTTGTTAGTCTGGTGACGAAGACGTCGAAGGGTGCGGCGGCTTGCACGGCATCTTAGATGATATCAGGGACGTGAGGTTTAATTCTTGTACATATGTAGTGTGTAATGCTTAATGAAGAGACGCTTCAGTTTGAATGTGCTTCCATCTGAGATGTGTCGTGCTGAGTAATCGGGGCTGCGTGGGCGGTTCTCGTGGTGGAGAGGAATGAGGCTAGCGCAAGCGAGGGGTTCCAGGAGCTTCAGCCCACCAAGCCTCGTGCAGCCCACGTTAGAGGCGCGTCATGGCACCAAAAGTCATCGGAGCCGTCTCCTGCTCCGGCGCGCGGGATGGCGGGGGCCAGCTCAACAGCTACCGATTTTACGCTCGTGCCCCCCGATTGCGCATCGTCTCCCCATATCATCCGACGCCTGTCCTGACGACTACACCGCTTACTGAACAAGCCCGCGAGCCATTGGCAGACTCAACAGCGGGGGTCCGTTACTACACTATCTTGGTAAGCCGCCGCACCCCCGACGTACGTCCAAAAGCAACCTGGGCGGGTGGAGAAGCAAATATCGTGTACAAAAGTGGGATTGGCCGCTGGGCATGGCCATTGAGCTGTTTTCTAGTGTTCTAGCCTCTTCGTCATACAGAGACTAACACCCTACGTCAAGGTCCCCACCTGTCGTCCTGAACCCTCGATTTCAGCGACACCACCGCCTCTCTCGCGATAACACCAATCCTACCTAAACCACCCTCACAACCGCAATCATGGTTCTACTCGGCGCAAGGAAACCGCCCTCCCGCAGGGGTATGCTCCGGCCTCGCTATCGTACACAAGGACAGATGGGATAACACCGTGCTAGGCTCCATGGCGGACATGCCGAAGGATCTGAAGGAGCAGATCGACAAGCTCGAGGAGATGTTCGTGGTGAACACAGACAAGCTCAAGGCTATCTCGAACCACTTCGTCAAGGAGCTTGAGAAGGGCTTGTCGGAGGAGGGCGGAAGCATTGTGAGTCGCAGTTTGCTTTGCGCTCTCCAGGATAGAGCTGACTGTGGTAGCCCATGATTCCCACCTGGTGCATGGCCTTCCCCGACGGTAACGAGACCGGCAGCTACCTCGCGCTCGACATGGGTGGCACCAACCTGCGTGTCTGTGAAGTCACCTTGACAGAGGAGAAGGGCGAGTTCGAGATCATACAATCCAAGTACCGCATGCCCGAGGAGCTCAAGACGGGAACTGCCGAAGAGCTTTGGGGCTACGTTGCCGACTGTCTCCAGCAGTTCATCGAATACCACCACGAGGGCGAGCAGCTCAACCACCTGCCTCTCGGCTTCACCTTCTCATACCCCGTCTCGCAAGACGCCATCGACCACGGAGTTCTTCAGCGATGGACAAAGGGCTTCGACGTCGCCGGCATGGAGGGCGTGGATGTTGTTCCAGGCTTCAAAGCGGCTCTTGAGGAGCGCGGTGTGCCCATCAAGCTTGCGGCTCTGGTCAACGACACGACCGGTACCATGATTGCTTCCGCGTATACCAACACCAAGATCAAGATCGGCTGCATCTTCGGTACCGGCTGCAACGCCGCCTACATGGAGGATTGCGGCTCCATCCCCAAGTTGAAGGATATGAAGCTCGACCCCAGCCTGCCAATGGCCATCAACTGCGAATGGGGCGCATTCGACAATGAACACCAGATCCTCCCAAGAACAAAGTACGATGTCATCGTTGACAAGGAATCACCACGACCCGGTCAGCAATCTTTCGAGAAGATGGTCGCCGGTCTTTACCTCGGCGAGATCTTCCGTCTCGTCCTCCAGGATCTGCACAAGGGTAACGAATGCCACATGTTTGAGGGCCAGAACGCCAGCAAGCTCGACAAGCCTTACTCTCTCGACGCCGGATTCCTGTCTCAAATCGAGGAGGACCGATTCGAGAACTTGCAAGACACAGGAGATCTCTTCCAAGAGAAGCTCGGCATCACCTGCACGAAGCCCGAACTCGAGCTCATCCGCCGTCTTGCCGAACTCATTGGCACACGTGCTGCTCGTCTCACCGCGTGTGGTGTAGGTGCCATTTGCAAGCACAAGAAGTGGGATGAAGTGCACGTCGGTGCCGATGGCTCCGTCTTCACAAAGTACCCCCACTTCAAGATCCGCCAAGCCCAGGCGCTCAAAGAGATCATGGACTGGCCCGCCAAGTACGGCAAGGGCAAGAACGACCCTGTCGAGGTGCTTCCCGCTGAGGACGGCTCTGGTGTCGGTGCTGCTCTGATTGCTGCGCTTACCGTTAAGCGTGCGCAGCAGGGTCAGTTGGCTGGCATTAGGGATCCGGACACGCTTCTGGCTATGGCCCCTAAGGATGCGAAGAAGGCTTGATAACTGATCTTCTTGGGATAAATGATTGAATGATAGAATGTATATACGAATGTGTCATTCACAGGGCCGCGAACACTTTCCAAGTGAAGTTAATAGCATTAATCGGCATATGATGAGGTAGGTGATTCACAAATGACAGAAGAATTAACAAACAAGCAGCGCGACATCCTCAAGCATACTGCTCCACCTGCTTCTCACTCCACTCCCAAAACGCTCTCGCCGTCTTGTTTCCCGCCTCAGACCAATAATCCTTCTTCAGCGTCCCAACCCTTCCCCACGGAATGACCCACTCACCCTCTTTGAGCTTTGCAGCCTCAGGTGCGAGACCAGCAAACAGCTCGGTGTATGCACCATTGACAGCCGGGTATAAGAGCCACATCAAACAAGCATGACGCACCGGATTCATGTTGCGTGCAAGCTCCGACTTGAGGTTTCCCGGGTTAAGCGCCTGCAGTAAATTTTCGTTAGTCGATCGATGCAAAGAAACTCCCGGAACGGCAATGCTCAAAGAAGAGCGTGAGGAAAGGGGGAACGAGCAAAAAAAAACCTGGAAGGAAGAACGTACCAGACTAACAATCCCCTCGCCGCCATACTTCCTCTGATACATCAAGGCGTGGAATACGTTCCCACCTTTACTCATGCCATACTTTGTCCAATTATTCACATTCTTGGTATACTCCAGATTGCTCATGTCCACTCCGCCAGGTGGTGCGCTCATCTGCGCCGCAATTGAACTCACCCAGATTACGCGAACACTTCCTTTTGCCTCCTTCTTTGCTGTTTCGAGCAATACCGGCGTGAGTAGCTTGGTAAACAAGAACGGCGCAACGCAGTTCGTGCCGAGTTGCAGTTCATACCCTTGCTTCGTCGTGCTTCCAGCGGGGGGTACCATGACGCCTGCGTTGTTGAACAAAACATCCAATCGCGATTCTTTTGCCAAGAAAGACTCGGCGGAGGCTTTGATACCGGAGAGGTCGTCGAGATCCAGATGGAGGTATTGTAAGTTTCCCTTGGATTCGGGGCATGCTTCTTTGATCCAGGATATCGCTGCATGCGCTTTTTCGGCGGACCGCGCGGCAAGATAGACCGTCGCGTTGTGCGTGTACAGGAGACGCGAGAGCTCTTTTCCTATACCCGCTGAGGCGCCTGTGACGATGAAGACTTTTCCGCTGAGATTGGGGAGGGAGGTCTCCGTGAAGGCGGGGGCTGGGGGGAAGAATTGGCTGAATTGTTGGCCCATTTTGGATGATGGTGTGGTGTTTTTGATGGCAATGGTGACTTTGAAGTTATTGTAGTTTCTAAATGGGAAGATGGCAAGAGAGGGATATATGTATATATACTCAATTACATCGTGATAGCAAGACTCCTCCGTCGCATCGAATTGGTACTTCGGCCGGCCCGTTGCTTAACCTTTCGGCTTCACCGCGGCGTTACTATCATACCAACCACCCAATCTATGTGCCTATCAAAGGTCGCAAACCTTAACGGCATGTTGCGCTATCACGATACACTTCGAGTACGTCGTATGCTCCCAAGTACCGTGTTTGGTGCGTGCCGTAGTCGTGACGGGATTTCTCGGACGAGTTGCGCGGCGGAGTCAACGATCTGGTAATCGGACCGTATGGTTAATGTCCACGGGTATTGATGTTGGAGTAAGGATTGGTAACTGTGATGGAGGACATGAATTTCGTCGACAAAGGCGTGTATTGCGTGATACGGTCCTTCTTGCTCAGACTGAGGCTGCTTAGGTGAGCGAACCTTGGAAGCATCGGAGAGTCATGGATAGAAAACAATTCTGGCTGAAGATGGGCGTACGAGGCTTGCACATCAATCACGTTAATCCGTACACTGATCTTGCTTGTCTTCACGTGAAGTAGTTGAGGTACTCACATGACTTTAGAAATGGAACAAGGATTGCGGAACTGGAAACGTCTATATGCGACAGAGAAGACTTCTTTCTTTGGACTATACGCTACCTAGATAATGTCTTGACATGTGCCCAAAGGTCGTCGCCGTCTTCTTCAACTCGCAAGTCTCCGGCCAAGGATCCCAACACCGTCGTTGTTCTTATCCGCATCCCATTTCCACCTGAAGTCGGTTTGAGATCGCTATCGACGTCCAGATCCCGATATCAAGTCTCAAATACGGCAGCAAGCCCAGCAAGTCTACACAAGTCAGCTCGGTTCCCTTCAGCATCGCTTCAAGCCGGAAGAGCGACGTGTACTTACACCAAGCTGTGCAGGTTCCTGACACAAGTTAGTACACAGTCACTCTTGTATTAGAGACGAATTCACATACCCATCCCTCACCACAGTTGGTAGGCGGCCCGGCCTCGCATCTGCGATCGCAAATCCTGGGTGCTGGGGTAGCAAGAGCAGCACCTAAAAGGGCGGCGAGCAGAGTGATGGCGACGGAGGTCTTCATGTTGATGGTATGATACTGAAGTTGCTTGTGTACGAGAGTGAAAGATGAGGACTGAAATCAAGGGGACACATGTAAGGATATATACATAATCGCTACCAAAAAGGCGCCCAACGCCACCACAAATGGAATTACTCGGAAGAGGATGGCATGAGAAGGCAGGCTCTAGACTCGCAAGAACGCACCTGTTTGTGCGACTTCTCAGCTTATGGCTGACGTCCACTGCAAACATCGCTATGAATCTAACTCGAAAACGGAAAATGCGACCAACAAACAAAAGGATGTACTCAGCGGGAGCTTGGCCAGTAACACAACGCGTAGCTACCACTAGGTCAGTAAGAGCTCAGAGAAAGATCAGACTTCGGAACAGCGTGGCATAGTAGTGTAGAGAGTGGGTAGGCGGGAACAGCGACAATGTGACCATTTACAATCAGCGTATGAACATCGGGAATATAATGACTCAAGGTGCAAGAAGGCAGCAGTTGGAAACCAAAGGTCATGGATGCGAAGGTTCTGGCATTGTATTGATTGGAAGACAATGTTCGTCGTGTGACATCATATCTATTCCGCCTTCCATGCGTTCCGTAATTTCATCAAATGATAGTCCAGATCCCACGAATCTCCATCCAAATGTTCTCTAAGCAGTGCATCAAGGCCACCCCCGCAATCTGCCCGAGCTAAGCAAAGCCCCAATCTGAGTCAAAAGTGCACTCTATTCTCTGGTGCAGCAGGACCAGCATTCCTACATCACGTTAGCTCACATACCAGCCTCGCCAATCGAAGAGCACATGTGTAGTAGATACTTACACCAGACTTGACAGCCACCTGTTCCACGTTAGCACAATACTCATATCAAATGTGGCAAGTTGATAACATACCCCACCTGGGCAGTCTGGCTCTTCAAAGAGACAGATCTTTGTGCAAATTTGAGCAGGTACGACAGGAGATGCCGCAACGAAAGCGGCAAGGACGGCGATGAGGACGAAAGACTTCATTTTGATGATGATGTTGGAGGCTTGATGATCTGTACGAGCGATGGAAGGGATGTGTAATTGCTGCAAAGAATGTAGATGAACACGGGCGTACACGAGGTAATATATACACCGCAATCCACTCAAACACCCACCAAAAGCTTCACCGGGGAACACGGTCCACGAAGATCCTCAGCCGTCGCCGTCGCATATACGCCGACAGACAGCTTCACTACTACGGCTTACATGCGAACTCAATCCCACACATACCAAATCTATATATTTGGCGCGAGTACAAACGCCACAAATGCTCCCTCCACGTGCTGAGCAAATTGACGGGGCTGATCTACCAAAAACAGCAAATGAGCATGATGACGTTGAGGGAGAAGCGGGTGAAACGGCTGCGATGGCGGTGGTGGTCAAAGCGATAGGCTTTTCCAAGCCATCGAGATGATGTTGGGTGGCAGGAGGAAATGAAGTACAAACAGCCTTGGCGCAATATACTGCTTACCCGGTTTCGGGGACATGGGTTCCCCGCATTTTATGGTTTGCATGCGTAGGGCTTGCTAGGGTAAAAATAGATGTGTCTGGGGTGGAGGTGTGAAGGAATGAGTGGTTGTTCGTGGAGGAAGTGTCATGAATATGGACGTGAAGGATATGGGGGAGTATTGCGAAGTCGTCTGCATTGATTGTTTGTACGGCAGAGTTCGGCCCGTCAAGGGTCGCGATGACGAACTCCTGACAGTTTCGTGTGCTGGCCACTGGAGAGAACTCCGCGCGGAGAGGAGATGAGCGTAAGCACCGACTTGGCACGTCGTATCTCGTATTACTCTATCACCCGAGACTGATACTACAACACCATATCAGCGCATTCCCGTCTTCTCATCTGCATGGCGCCTCTTTCCAATGCCAAGTGCCACGAGAAGCGTCTCCCAGCTAAAAGATAGCAACGGCATTCGGCGGACTCGCAACACCACCTGGTACCTACGCAATAGTCAGCTCATGTCTCAGTATCAGCAACTTGGCAAGACGTTACCTTCAACGGCACACTACTAACAAAGCAAGTACTCCGGCCCAACTCTTTACTCTTCTCACATAACCGCTCCAAATCCCACATCTCACCTATCATGACACCCCATCCACCCAAAAGCCATTGATGTACTAAGCCACCGCCCTGCATCTCGTTTTCCCAGGTTTCACCCGCGTTGATACCACCTGGGGCGCTGTGTGGGCCTACGAGCGGAGACATTTCGAACGACGGCGCGTCGGATGCTGCGGAATCTTTAGAGAGCGTACTTTGAGTTGTGGTTGGAGGTGTTTGAGAAAAAGCCAAGGAGACGTTGGATCATGAGAAGATCAGATGAGGTAAGACGAGCGGATGCTTACCAACAGCAACGAACCCGTTTTCCCAAATCCATTGTAGCGTGTTCTTATCCGACTGTACGCCCAAGAACGTCGGTGGCTTGTCTTTTATCGCCCGTCTTTCTTCCTCGCCTAGCTTGGCGTAATCACGCGTGAATCCTGTTCGTAAGAGTAGCAGATCGCCTTCTCGCGTCTTTACACCTGTTTCTTGCACCATGTCTTTTAGTTCCTCCGCCGTGATGCTGTTGGCTTCGAGCGCGTACACTTCTTTCTTGCCTTTCTTTTCAAGATACCGCGGATAATCTAAAATGATACCCCGAGCTGTGATGCCGCCAGAGTTGGCCACGCGATCGATGCCAATGACTTCCGAGGACTCGAGATCTTGCTGTGAGCGCCCGCCGTAGTACTTCTTTGCACTCTGGTAACCGTAGTGGCGGAAGCCGTCCCACTGACTACTTCCCTGCGTGTTGAAATCCAGATGGTCGTCGTTGACGGTTCTCTTCGCGCCATCTAGATGTTCTTTGTTCTTCATCTTCCAGGAGAAAGATGGACGGTTGAAGGATGGATGGGATGGTAAGTTGAGATACCAGTCAAGTGAGACCCGGTCACCGGTTTGTATCTCCCGGGCCGCTGCTTTGACGGCTGATGGTGTAATCATGTTTAGAGCGCCGAGCTCGTCGTTTGGGCCGTACAGGCCCCATGCGTTTCCGGGTGGACCATTTTTGTCGAGTGGGAGATCCTGGAATGGAGGACGCGATGGTACCATAGCAGTGTCAAGTATATATGGAACGGTCCAGAAGGTGACAACTTCGAGGGCTTGCTGATGAGTTCACTCTAGAGAAACCACGATGTAGAAATACTTGTCGATCTTTTGAACACCATCTGGATACACTGCTGAAGCTGTGTGACGTATGGTGGGGTAAAGGGCGGGGTAACTGCCGCTCGGTAACTGACGAGGCGGAAGTGACGACCGCGACTCGGACAACGGAAAGGGCATTCTTGCCAATACGTTGAAGCGCGAGCTTGATTGCTGTCTTTAGTCAGGAGTTCACTCTCCTTGATTCACCTCGTTAGACGACAACTCGTGTAGGCGCTGCGTACGTGCTTTGGTATTGCAATACCTACTGTGCTGCAGCAATTGATTCAGAAGTCGGGTCCCATCCCTACGCCACTTCCTCTTGAGCCTGTGTTCTTCAAATGCGCGCCACTGCCTTTGAATAGGCTTTGCCAAATGAAGGCTTCACTTAACAATAGTTCAATGTCCTTTTCGGTCCACTGACGCGTTGGCAATGATTGCAGAAACATCATGACCTCTTGAAAGTCCATCTTTCGTAGCTGATCGGACCACTTTACGAGGAACGCAGCGCATACGTAGAGGTGGAATGACGAAAACCCATCCTCTTCGGCCTAGACAATGTTAGTGATGCACTTAAGAGTGTGGCTACGTAGCTTACCAGGTATGTATCCCACATCCGTATCGTATTCTTTACAGATATCTCGCGCATCAGAAGACAGTTCATCCATCGGAAGCTGAACTGTATAAACTCTACACCCTCATTTTGGAGATGCTTCGCCAGTTGATCATCGATGCGCGTTGTGAGATCTCTAAGACTAGCCACTTGTCTTTGGATCCCTGGTTGATGCGCAATGTAGTTGTCTTGAATCCCATCAAGGAGTTTGGTAAGGCACCAAAAGGAGTCCGCTTCAACGGCGTCCAAAACTTGCTTTGGTAACTGTCCAGGATCCATGCCAAATTCAATATCCGGATCTGAAATGTAGGCGCCCAAGAAGACCTGCCAAAATGGGGTCACCAAGTCATTGATGCCCTGGACATATCCTGACGCAGGGTGCCGTATCGCCCACACGTATAGTATTCGCTCGAGAGACCGTTGCGTCGCTTCGTAGCTGTAGAGCTCGAGATGGGGGTTCGTCCGAGGCACGTCGATGCTGATCTGATGCCATATAGCTTCGTCCAAGCCACGTCCTCGTCCACGGTTTGTTGAAGGATAGCCAGCGCCGCCTGCCATTCCAGATGCTACGGCGCTAGCACTACCAGATGTACCTCGTTCAAAGGCCTGTCGCACTCCCTCCAGATACTCTTTCCGTTTGCGCTCGAGTGTCGCGACCCTCCGCTCGCTGCTAGTTGGCAGGTATCCCAACAAGATCTGCCATGTCATTGCGCGTACTTCAGACGGGACTCCTGACCAGGCTGAGTCGCGAAGGTCTGATAGCGATATGGTGCTCGCCTGCAGTATCCTCTTGAACTTGTTGATCCTTGTTGTGCGCGCGGAGTGCTCTTCGACCTGCTTCGCTGAGGCATTCGGGGGTAGACTAGGATGCGAAATGAGATGCAGAGAGTTTGCGGGATCTCGAAGAATTTCCTGGTACTGCGGCCGTAAGATCTTCCCTTCAATCTTCTTTGCGGTCGGGTAGTTGGGTATGCCTCGCTCCTCTGCAATATCACCACTGTCTATACCACGCCACGCCGTTGAGCCCAGACTTTCCCTGCTGACGTGCCCGGCGGTTTCCTTCGTCTTGGATGGCTGTTTCCGCCGGCCCTTCCTCCGCATGTTTGCGATGCTCGGGAGCCCAAACTCGTCTTCGTCATCCTCAAACATGTTGTCGGCATCGTCTTCGTCCCCCTCGTTCCAGTCTTGATGTGTGTCATTGAGGAAGTAGCTGTACGTGGCTCGCGCAGGACGGGGCGATATGGTCTTGCTAGACCGGCTCGGTGCAGCGCTTGACTCGCGACTGTGGGTTGCCGATGGCGGGGTTCGAGGTCGTGAGTTGGAACCGGAAACGCTCCTGTGACTATCAGCTACAGGCCATTAATAGCATACAAAGCAACGTACAAAGAGCTGAAGTTGAGTATGTCGGCATGGGAATAGGATGCGCCGATGACCTTCTTGTTCGGCGGCGGCGAGGAAGCGGAATTGGACGTCGTTCGCCAGAAAGGAGAGCCAGAGCTGCGCATGGAATATCAGCAATCAAAACGGGTATGCGACTGCAGTGTGCAACGTACGAGGATCGGTCTGTATGCAGGGAAGCGATATGTTAGCTACCCCGGATACTATGACGCTCTCTGTGACTTGGATGGGCACACACCGACCTGGACCATTTCCTGGCGACTTGTTAGCAAACACACAGATTGCGCGTACAACTGAGTGGACAAACCTGCTGCTGTTTCTTCGACGCCATGTTGGAATATGTGAATGCTTGTTCCGTGCCTCGAGGCGGCCCCGCTGCGAACCTGAGCTCCGAATCGCTCGACCCGGAAAGTACGAAGGAGCCTGTAGGTTTTGTGCCGTAAGGAAGAACTCTGGATATCCCCAAGATAACAGCCTGTTCTTGAATCACCGCACCATCAATAGTACAGCTATTCTATACAACATGGCTGTACTGGGTATGTCGTAGGGCTCGTGCATGTATCCGTCGCGCCTTCCACGCCAAGCCCGATGCTAGCGCGCCTGCCCATTGCTCTGCTCTCATCTCCTCACTCCGGCGACAGACTCTTCCTTCTATCACCTCCCTTCCTTCTAAATAACCCGACAGTCCCGCCCCACTAATCGCGACTCTACTTTCGCGCGCTTGCTCCTCCCTCGTTTCCGATATACCTTTTAGGAAGCTCTTCTTCAAGACTACACCATGGCCGATGAGAACTACGAAGACGACATCTTCGACGATCTGTCAGTATTTCCAGCGCGACTTAGCTTTGCGCGCGTAATGCGACACTTGCTAACGGTCCACCAGCTACGATGATGAGCCCACACAGAAGCCTGCGGCTGCCGCACCCGCACCAGCCCCCAAGACCGAACCTGAGCCTACTCCAGCCGAGCCCGTAAGCGCGCCTCCTCAGGATACTGCACAGAACAACGGTCAAGATAGCGCGCCCGCATGGCCAGCCCAAGGCGCGGCAGACGGCGACTCGCACATGGACCAATCCGGTTACAACGCTGGCGGCGAGCAGTCGTACGACAATGCGCCCATGGACGATGACAACTATGGGCCAATCAACGTGAAAGAAGATGGGTAAGTCGTGCAATGTCTAACATGATTCCCATCTATCAGAGGCGCATCACAAGGTAAAAGAGCACATATTCCCTGTGTAAGGGCATCCGCCGAGGACATATTGTTACCAGGACCAAAGTCATCAACGACCGCATAAGACATTCTGCTGGAGCATCAGACACCATGAGCGATACCAGCTCTCGTATGACACTTTGCATGTACAATCAAGGAACAAGCTTTGGACACGGTGTGTGTCTTACATTCAAAAGCACCTGGGGTCATGATTGGCGCAGAGTCTGGGATGAAGGTCGAGGAGCTAGACACCTTGCGAAAGATTGTGGTCCACATCGCCCATTGGCGAGGCGTTCGATGCATGGCGGAATGGGCCACCAGTGTTGGTTGTTAGAAGAAGCTGGAAGACACAAGTCAACCGCTCAGCGATACTCAGAGCAACCATCAACGCGCCTCACGCAGGGACTATCGCGGCTTGCCCGAACTTTGGCAGCGCCTCATGTCGATATATACCTAGGTACTTGATAGCGCGTACCAGCAACGCAAGCAGAGGATAGCTACCGAGTCGTGAGATAGTCTGAGACTTCCACACTCGAATTCATAGCAGAACACAGACGTTTCATCCGAATCAAACTGTGCCTTTGCAAGGGCTACTTTTGCACCTCGAAACTTGGACATGAGTACGTGGAGTGCGTTCTTGGTCGATATGATTGGTGTACGCCACGAAGTCGACACGTCCAGGGTCGGATGCGGCGCAGGAGTTGGTGTCGCTTAGCCATTCGTCAGCGGCTGCGGTCTTCCTCGCGAGCGGCAAGGGAACCTCACGATACCAACATACATGTTCCTGTCGGTCATCAATCAACCACGACAAGCTATGGAATTCGAACTTCTCGACACTGCAACTTGCGAAATCACTTTCGATAGCCCCGCTGGCGAACAACAATCAGCGGTGCAGTGCGATCAACTCGACAAAGACTGCGACGCCAGCCTACACCAATCACTCATCTACTGAGATTGTGTCCTGCTATATCTCGCCAAGGATGACAACTGGAGATACGGTGGACTGTATGCGAGGATGCTGTACTTGCGACTTTCTGCATCTTTAGTCTTACCAATATGGTTTCGACGGCATCATGATGACGGCCAACGCCAGCCTTCACGTCAAAGGCCACCCAACTATATACCTACGGATGCTCTATGATGCGCCTCATCAATCTCGCCTGCTCTCCCTGGAGTTGATGATATGGAGCAACATCATGCTAACTTCAACCATAGTAAAATGTTCATTGGCGGTCTGAACTGGGAGACAACAGAAGGTACGTGATGACACATTAGTAGAGCAAGGCATACCCCAGTCTTACTACAAAACTATACGCTCAAACGTAGGGACTTACTAAATCCCCACAACAGATTCACTCAAGGGTTACTTCTCACAATTTGGCGAAGTCAGTGAATGCACCGTAATGCGGGATGCTGCCACTGGACGCTCGAGAGGATTCGGTTTCCTTACGTTCAAGGACCCGAAGTGCGTCAACATCGTCATGGTTAAGGAACACTACCTCGACGGCAAGATTGTATGTCTGCTCCAATCGACAACGAGCTATCAGCTAATACCATGCAGATTGACCCCAAGCGTGCTATCCCACGTGAGGAGCAGGAACGCACCAGCAAGATTTTCGTCGGTGGTGTGAGCCAAGAAGCAACCGAGGAAGACTTCACCAACTTCTTCAAGCAATTCGGTCGCGTTGTCGATGCCACACTCATGATGGACAAGGAGACCGGTCGACCCCGTGGTTTCGGTTTCGTTACATTCGATGGCGACGCAGCCGTAGACGCCACCCTACGTGGGCCCCTCCAGATCCTCGGCAAACAGATCGAGGTTAAGCGCGCTCAACCCCGTGGCAACATGCGCGACGACGATGGCGGCGATGGAAACAAGAAGTTCGGTCGCAACAACAAGTTCAACAAGTTCAACGATGGCGGTAACGGTAATCAAGGTGGCGGCAACAACTACGACAACGGCGGCGGAAACATGCAAGGCCAAGGCGGCAACAGCGCCATGTCTCCTGCTATGATGGCTCAGTACTGGCAGCGAATGCAACAGTACTTCCAGTCCATGCAGCAAACCCTTGCTCAGCAGCAAGCCGGCGGTGGTATGCCCGGTAACCCCATGGCTGCAATGGGCGGCATGAACCCGATGCAAATGCAGCAGATGCAACAGCAGATGATGAACCAAGGTATGAACCGCGGCAACGGCTCCCCGAACCCTCAAATGATGGGTGGCCCAGGTGGTATGAACCCGATGCAGATGCAGCAAATGCAGCAGATGCAAATGGCACAGATGCAAGGTGGAGGAGGCCCAGGAGGTCAAGGTGGTCCGGGTATGATGAATCCTCAAGGTGGCCAGAGTGCCGGTGCACGCCCAGCTTACACCGCTCAAGATCAACTCGCTTTCGAACAGCAGAAATACGAACAACAACAGGCTCGCCGCCAGCAGCAACTCTCCGGCCCCGCCGGCTTCGGTAACCCCCAGGGCGGCCCTCAGAGCTGGGACGGTATGTACGAAGACGCGCCTCAGCCTAACATTCCTTCCGGTCCCGGTGGTGGCCGCGGCGGCTTTAGGAACAACCGCTCTCGCCAGGGCTCCAGCCAGCCCCCTGCTGGTGGTGGTCAGGCTCCTATCAACGCTCCCACTGGACCCAAGAACGCTGGTGTCAGGGGTGCGAACTACCGTGGTGGAGGTCACCGCGGTGGTGGTGGCTTCAGGCACCAGCCCTACGGCGGCCGTGGTGGTTAGACGTGGATTCAAGAAGATTCAAGAGACGAGACCTGAGAGATGCGTCAAAGTCAAAACGGAGATGTGTTTACTCTTCTGGGTGGAGTCGGGTTTGTACATGGTGGAATAATTTCAGTTCGTGATATGCATGGCCGAGATCTTGATTTTGCGCTTCCTTTTCTTCCTCTTTGGGATGGGATGGGAGGGTAATGACATGGTATTGGGGTTTGCTGCATGAACAGGTTGGAGGTGGTCTTCTTCTTTCTGTATACTAGCATTTTCAAAAACAAAAAAGTCTATTTCGGCGTTGTTGGCCTTCCATTATTTCAAGTCTTTCAACTTTTGGGTTTTTCTTGATGAACACATCCACTCCCTCACTCTTTGTAGGTTCGCCCTCGCAGTGTGAGTTGATCAACCGATGAGTTAGAAAAGGCAGAGCCATGACTAACCTGGGGAGACATCTTTGGTCAAAGGAGAACAACAACTACATATCAAAACATGGTTCAGAAAGATACGGAATATCTCCCGTGTAAAGCAGCACATTAGGCACCGTTGGCGCGAATTCATTTCTCGTCTTTCCACCCCGAACATGCGGAGGGCTCATTCGGATTTTGGAACAGCGATTTGGTCTTTTGGGCAATTATACGGCTTGGACAAGTCCGTTTTATACTTCGAAGCAGTTCTTGAGCATCTTGTGTGGGGCGAGCGGCTTTAGGCTGAGATATTGATACTACGACCCAGAACACACAGCAACATCCCAGTTTCAGTAATCTCTTTTCGGTGAACGGTTTCATGTTGATTCTCTAATGACTGCGACTGTGTCGACACAAGCTCATGTTGGTGTCTCCCCAAACTTTCAGAAACAGAGAAGAAGACCCATTCGTTTCTCATGGCCCGTTTTGAGTGATGAATAGTATTGAGACTTGGCTTTTGGTGCTCTGGGCAGACGGTAGGTAGTTTCGAAGATTGGAAAGGAGGCGCACAACACCGGACATTAAGCACATTTGATGTCTTTTCGAAAGAACCCAACCGCAGACAAGCTCATGTCGTCCTCAGTTGTTTTATTTTGGAGTTGCCAATTTGAAGGCACAAGTAGAGAAGAGAAGACTGAGGAGTAGAAAAGAGGTTTTATATATGGCTACACTACGGTAGTCTCCACTACCAGAACCAGGACGGCGGGCAACATAGTTCTTGACATAGAGTCGTTTTGATCGTCCCGGGAAGGCAAAACGGGCAAAGGCATGAGCCTTGTTCTCTTTGTTTCTGGGAGCTATATCATGGTTCACAAGAACCGATAAGTCGAAGTGTGGTCTGCAAAGAAGGACTTTGATAGGGCTCGCGGTAGAAACTTCGGCGGAAGGAACGAACACATGTGACGAAATTGGTCTAATTTTGAAACCAG